CTCTCTATGGATTCACTTTAACACAAAAATAGTTTTGTGGCTATAACCTATCGTCTCAAAACTATTAATAATTTAAACATAGTAAGTAGTAAAACGAGGGGTAAAATAACAATAACAAGGGAAATACTTAAAAAGAACAGGTTTAAATTAAAGAGTATTATCACAAGAAAGGATATTCGTTGTTTATTTATCAAGTATTGTTTGAGGTTACCGTTGGAATACACTTTTGTTTCTTTTTTTTTTTTTTAATTTCTGTAGTAGTCTATTAAATTTTTTAAACCTTTAATAAAAATTATATTTTGGAAACTTTCATTGATGGCTTGCCGTACATGAAAGTCAGATTGGCTTCTTCTATTATAGTTGTGATATTGCGAATTATATTGAATTTTTTCTAATAGATCTGATGCGATGGTACTATGTCATTTTTATTTTAGAAATAAATATCAGTCATGTACTAAACATAATTCTGAACTAAAAGCCAATTTATTTATTTTAACATAGTTGCAATACTCATTTTTATGTCCTTTATTAATAGAATATAAATAGGCGAAGTAAGGAGCCCAAATATTTTACATGAGCAGTCTTAAGAGGTAAAGGGGCTAATTATTATTGGATAATTTGCTAAAACAAGTTTTTAAACCCCTTATCAAAAGGCGATATAGAATGGTTTTAAAAATCAAGGCTTGTGAAAATCATCACATGGTTAAACCTAAGTAATGCCAATGCTTCACAAAACAAAAAATTCAACGTCCTAATACTACAATTGGTTTTCGGTCTTTCGTTCCAATTTAAATCATTTCTCGTTTTTGTTACGCTACGAGTTTACCTTTGTGGGTCTCAGTCTCGATAAGGTGGGAACCACCATTTTAGCGTCTCTCGAATTAAACAGTTGGAAGCATTTTCTGACCATTTGCCAGTAAAATTTAAAACAGATTTTAGAGAAAATTTTAGTATCCTATGAAATTTCTCAATCGAACCATTAGATCTTAGATGATAGGGAGTTGTTCTTAGATGATTAAATTCCATAAATTTTTAATATTCTCTGAATAGTTCAGATTCAAATTGTCTTCCTTGATCAATAGTGACTTTTGAAGAAACATCAAACCTACAAATCCGTCCATTATAAAACTCTCGAGCTACGGATTCTGCCGTTATATTGGTTAAAGGAAAAGCTTCAAACCACTTTGAAAATCTATCAATACATATTGAACAATATATAAAATAATTTAGGGGTGGCAAAGGGCCTATTAAATCTATGTTAATATAAGAAATGAATCGAAAGTACTTAAAGTGTGTAGATAGAGTTTTATCAATAAAACTCAGTAATATTAGTCTAAGCGTTTTCGGCCTGTTAGGCCATCATCAGAGACTTCGTCCATCAATGTAGAAGAAGCATGAAAATTTATATTTAACTAGATTAAAAAGGACTGCAACAATACGGTCTCTGTTCTCCACCATAACTTGAGGCTTGAATAGTAAGAAATAAAAGAACCACTCCTAACAGGTGGTTGCAATTTAAGAAAACACGTGGGGGCTCATCCCAACAAGTAGAAATGCACAATCTCAACCATTCAAAGGTAGAGAAAGAGAAAAAACTGTACTTCAACATGAAGGCAGCTGACCCTTCCAAGTCGCTGCCGAGAGGCGGAGGCAAGTTGGGGCACAAGAAATCGTAATTACTATCTCTTCAAAAATCATATCCTACCAGGTTAACTTAAAAAGTAAGATATTGAAATCACCATAAGAACACTATAAATGGCTGAAATTCTCGGTTGAACTGCAATCTTCTTATTTTATATTTCTCTACTTTAAAATTTTGGTATTTAGTTTCTTATCTAAAAATTAACGTAGTTTAAAATAAAATTAAGTTATAAGAAAGTTACAAGCGTCGACAGGCTTTTTTTCAAATTTCCAAGTATTTGTTTTCACCTTTTGGGTTCGGGGATGGTCTTAATAATTCGTAGGGGGATTTTTGAGATTTATTTCCGAATTTTCAAATTATTTCAGTTACAATAAGTACTTGAGTTAACTATCTTTAGGTGAAACATTATATTAAAACATTTATTAAATATTCGATCAAATATCGTATTTGTATTAAATGATCCTATCAACAATTTGGCAACTTGTCTTGAGTGAATTATTGTTTATGTTATTAAAGTGACAATACTCATTACGATAATCTACAGACACTTGTTCAACCATCTGCTAAGTATGAAAATAAAGATATCCTGGCATATTACCAGCTTTAAACTGTTTATCTTGGATCTAGAATGTTCAAATGAAAAGTAAATTTGTCTACTCTATTTCTGTTATTGTAATTGTTTTCGTAATTTTTTAAAGACAAATTTAAATATCATGGCCGTCGGTTACTGGACATAAAAACTATTGAGTGTATAACATGAGTCAATAATGGAAAAATACTATGCAATCTGCTTAATTAACTACTTAAAAAAATACTGAAAGTTTATTTCTGTTATCATTGTTTCTGAAACTGTTTAAGTTAAACTATAGAAATACCTCCATGAAATGATGAATTTTAAAACTTGTTTCATATGATACTCAAGATTTTTTTTAACCCTTAAATCTACACCAATGGGTCATCGTAATTCATCGAAATAAAGAATGTTAATTAATAATGATGATTAACTAACGAGTACATATATTTAAGTTAAAGTCTTTACTAAATGAAGATATTTATAAAATTATGTATTTATGAAATTCATATTTTTATTGTCATAAATTACACTTATATCAGCAAAAAACCAGTAAAATAAACTTTGATAGTGGCGAACGGCATAGATAAGTAACATCTTCATCTCTTCTAAATAATACACCACTGTCCAAAAACTTATTTGGACTGTAATTAAAAAAAAATTATGAACGTTTGTTGGGAATTTATAAATTGATTGGTTTTCGAGATATTTGCACTCAAAGGTGGATACTTTTAATTTTAATTTATTTTTATATTTTGTAATTTTTATTATTTTATAAATTCCCATCAAGAGTACATGACTTATTTAAAAAACTTTAAAAAAAATTCAATTATAATCCTCATAAGTTTTTTGGCGAGTGGCCTAAAATTTAGGAAATTTAGGAGGATGAAGGTTTTACTTATCCATGGCAAGGTTAATTTGTTAGATTTTTTGGGTAATAGGTGTATCTTATGGCACCAAAAATGTTTACCGAATTCCGTTAAATTAGAATGAGTGATATACAATTTATAACCGTTATTTATTAATTTTTAAAGTTTGAAGCTAGTAACATTTTACTTAAGCATATTTCATTTAATTGTCTTATTTTTATTCAGATAATCTTTAGTTGTTTTGTCATAATATTATTAATGGGACATCCTGTTTGGAACGTTCTAAAAGATCAAGTGCTGTTAAAAAAAAAGGAGTCATTGAATCTTATTTCAGAAGTAGATGGGATCTGCTTAACTGTATGTCACAAACATTATTTTAAACTATTTGAATAAATGAAAAGATACACTATTATAAAATTATCCTTCTCAACATTGGGGCCATAGAGGCATATTTATTAAATGTAAATATGATAAAGAGCTTTTAAGTGATACAATTAATTTACCATAATGAGCCGTAGAAGATAATCAGATAATAGTATTTAACCTATAATTTTTTGACGGTAGATCTAGAAGCACCGTATTAGCTATTTGTGTATTAAGAGCGAAAACTGATAGTTTTCCGCTTGAGATGGAAATTTGCCCACTCAAAATAAACACAAGATTTATTCTATGATCACATTATTTTAAGAAATAGATAAAAAAAAAATTATCGTTGACTATATCTACCTTAATCATGAAAAAAGGAATTGACATTCAAAGTCAATGTTAACTTGGATAATAAAACAAAAAAACATGTAACTACGTACAATTAAAATAAGTTAAAAATAATTTATTAAAAAATATTATAATACACCTAATTAAAATTAGGCGAGCAACAAAGCTGTCAATTTTGTTGCGCGGCGAGTGACAAAGCTGTCAATTTTGTTGCGCGACAAGTGACAAAGCTGTCACTTAATTTTAACTTTGGGGTTCACATACTTTGATTTTCTTTTACTATACGGAGAATGGTCGCACTGCGCAGCTTTCTGAGTGCCTTTTAAAAGGAGATAGAAAACTCCACCATTTTGAACCCTTATTACGTGTTGCCTACATCTTGGCGCAATATTTTTAATAGGTTCGTTTTAATCATCCGCTTCTGCTTCGGAATTGTCGGTTTTCTTGTTTTAATCTGACAGGTTAAAACGACTAACCGATAATTCCGGAAGCAGGAGCGGATGATTAAAACGCACCTGATATTTTGCTTTCTGCTGTCAGTGTCAGTGAATATTATTTTTGGAGTCACAGTTTATTGCTAAAGAATCAGTTAGCTCACTCGGACCAGTTGAAAATTCCAAAATAACATCCACTTCAGGGATACAAATTCAGGATACGCAGAAGACTGCTGTTGTATTATAGGCGGTTGCCATATATTGTATTATCCGAGTTACGCAGTGTATAAACTGGAAAATTGAGATCAAAAGGGCCGACGCAGAGTGAGCGATCTGATTCTTTAGCTATAAACTGTGGCATAGGAATCAAAATGGCCGCGCCCTATGTTGGGCGTGTCGGACCTCTCTCTTGCATCGTATAGTAAAGAAAATCAAAGTATGTGTTGGGGTTGGATTTCGAAGAGCAAAAGCCTACTTTGGATAGTGATCGTAGAAAAAAATATTATTGGTATTTTAAAGAAAAAAAAAATTTGTAAATAATTTATCTATATCTAGTACTAGTATATCAATAAATAGTAAGCACAGGCATTTTAAAGGTCTTTACCACACACTTGCATAATATTATTATTCATGCTTCCAAAATAAATAGAAGTACCTTCAAATTACCTACATAATTAAAAAGGCTAACAAGCGATTACTCAAACAATCATTTGAAATTAGAATATTTTATAATTTAGTTTCAACTATAAGTATTCCTATCTTATTTTCAGCTTCCAAGCCGCCATTAAAGCATACGGTGTAGCTGACATCGACGTCTTCCAAACCGTAGACCTGTGGGAAAAGAAAGACATTGCTCAAGTCACAAACACCCTCTTCGCTCTCGGCAGACAGACCTACAAGCACCCAGAATGGATGGGACCCTACCTTGGACCTAAACCCTCCGATGAAAACAAAAGAGAATTCTCCCAAGAAACACTCAGAGCCGGTGAAAGCATCATTGGTCTCCAAGCTGGTCAGAACAAAGGCGCCAGTCAAGCTGGACAAAACATGGGTGCCGGCCGCAAAATTATCCTTGGAAAGTAAAATGTTTAGTTTTCTATTTTTATTTTTACACGGGTTTTTTTTATGTTTGTTTATACGTAACTTCTTAATTTAAAAGAAATAATAAATTTTATTTTAACAATAGTTGTATTGTTTTCAATTGTCCAAATACCCACCTACAAACCAAGTCTAAATTAGCATCTTAAAGGTTATAAGAGTAGCAGTAAAGATCTAAATTTAAGATTATTAAAATTTTAAAACTTACAAAACAAACCTTTCATTTTATATTTGGATGTCAACAAACATTTAAGGTTTTTTTTTATCCTTTTAGGCATTACTCTGCTCTCTCCTAAGAGATTATATACATTGACACCCCCCAATTTAAGCCTGGGCTCTAGCCTGTCTTCCCTCCTCTGGTGATCGCATAGCGGTACTACAGCCATATGGACTTATTGTACCAGCATTTGGATGCACTACATCTTCCTATTTATTCAACTCATGCATTTTACCCATACAATTCACCGTCTACCAATCAGACCATAGCCTACCGAGTCACGGCGGCGTTGTGATTGGTGTTTTGAATAGATTTAATATTTCCTTGTACAGAGTCTTGAACAATACCTGTATCCCACGTGACTAAATTGATGTCATCAATTGGATAAAAGTAACAATAGTAGTAACCCTAAAACAATGTCACTGACCCTTTTGACATATATGATATTTATGTTGTCATAAAAGTCACTAAGAACGGCTATTTTTATTAAATTTAGTTTAGTAAAACATTGGCCAATTTTTTTTCACCTCCTTTCAAATTGTAATTAGAAAAATGTATCTTTGATCATAAAAAATATATTAGATCTGGAATTTTTCCTTTGCTTAAAAGAGAAAGTAAATCTTTCAAATGGAACAAGGCATCTTTTTAAAGTTTACCATTTATAATTTTATTTATACGCAGTATTAAGTAATACATTTTGCGAATATTTTAAAAGGCAGATGCTTAGTAACATTTTCATTAATTTAACTTCGGTTTACAGTTGCAATATATACAATCTTTCTGTCAGGATTTGTTTAATATTCTATCATTTAGTCTATCCCTGTCTAGACTTTTTTGGTACAGCCTTGACAGAAAAGTGAAATATCAACAAATTTTACTAACTAAATTAAAAATTTGAATACTTCTTTTTAGTTTACAACTTTAGGAAAAAATTCATGAAAAGACTGGAGTTCCAAGTAAAGAATTAAGTTAGCCTAATCAGCACGCAGTTACTTTCCACTTTAATCAGAGGTGAAAAGGCCGGCCCTAATCGTGTAAAGTTTGGACACAACCAGAGTTAGGGCTCGAATGACCAAGTAGCTTTCACTTGTTTTTAAACATTTATTTTATTTATCATTCTTTATACACACGGGAATTTGAGGAATAATTTCCAGCCAGACCTATAGTGGGCTAGGATCTTGATTATTTGTTTATTGTTATATTTATTGTCATATGTCATTAGTTTTTCTGTAAAATATTGCAAGTTAGTGTCCAGGATTTGTATTTGCATATATATCACCTCTGTTAGATTTCTTCACACATACTTGGCATTAAATTACTGTCTGGTGGTGTATTGGTGATCTGGCAGCGGTCCTTTGTGGTCACTAAAGTGATATTTAGCAATAGAAATAGAACAATTGTCTCAAATCCATAATATCTGACATTTTGTACAAATCATTAGTAGGATACCTGAGCGGTTTAGATATGACTATTTTTATTATTCTCTTCTGAAGAATCTCTAAGGAATTTATATAGATACGTGCGGCTATATCCCAGTATTTTAGTTGGCAAAAACGCTTTTAAATGTGTAAACCTAGAAATAGTTTTTTGTAATTTCTTTACTACATAATAGACATGATCCCACCTAAAATGGCAATACAAGTAAATACCTAAATATTTTATTACCGTTTCTGCTTTAATACTGTATATTTCACCGTTAATGTCAAAATTGATTTGTTGAAGATATTTTAGGCCAGTAGCATTACAACTGAAAGGAATAACTTTGGTTTTATTTAGATTCATTGTAAGTAGTTTGTAACTAAACCAGTTTTTTATTAACTTAACCTATTTCTTCTTTTTCTTTCAGTTGTTGCCAAATATTAGCTTTATAAAAAATGACAGTATCATCCGCGTATCCGATAATCTCGCCAGTTGTGTTTAAACTAAGGTCATTTATATATAAATTGAACAAAATTAGTCCTAGGACAGTACCTTGAGGTACCATATTCAATGACTGCTTCTTCATTTATTTTATCCCCGACTTTTACTAGCTGTTTTATTGAATATAAATAGTTTCTAAACAAATCTAATACATTCCCTCTGATTCCTATATTTTCTAGAGTTTCAATTAGCAACTGATGGTTTACCGTATCAAAATCTTTGCTTAAATCTATAAAAAGACATAAGCAGGGCTTACCATTTTCTAAGGATTTATATTTTTTTGTCAGGTTTATGATTGCGTCAACAGTTGAAGATTTTTCTTTAAAACCATACTGCTTATCAGACAACAAGTTATACTTACCTATAAATGATGTTAATCTATTTTTTAAAAATTTTTCAAAAATCTTACTTAACACGTAGTCGTATTCGGATGTGTCAACATACAACCCTTTTTTTGCTACAAGTGAATATTATTGTATTTGTGTTCAATAAAGATTTATATATTAATGTTTTGTGTTTTTTTTGATTTTTTGTTGTGTTTAAATATGTACCACTGGTGGTAAACGACGGGTGTGACATATATTTTTTGCTCAGGGACGTCGTATGCCACCGGTAGCCACAAGGTAAAAGGTAAGTACAGTTCATCAAATTTCTAGAGGCTTTCGACGGCTAGACAGAGAAAGCACTACTGACAGGCATCCCGACGGATTTACGCAATGAAAGTACACTCTGCGCATCAAGTATTTCACTATTTCATTCAGACGTAAATGTCAGATGTAAATTTCGCTAAAACATTTCTTTTATTTTCGTTTGTGTTTTTTGCTCATTACAGTTTAATAGAACCTAAGTATGGAATTTAATAGCAAATTAAGAGGCCGCGTGATTAACAGTCAATCTCGCGAAATAATAGCCAATGTTATAGAGTTTATGAGAAGAGAAGGAAACTTTAATTCACCTTCAATACCATTTAAAAATGTAAATGATCGTATTGCTGCAGCCACAGGAGTATCTAAAAACACTGTCGTCCGCATTTCTAGAGAGAGAAAAAGAATCGATAAACGTGAGATATCGGAATTTTCATCACCAAGAAAAACCATTAAAAAACCAAAAACAGTTAATGATATAGATGAAGCTGCACAAGAATCAAATTTTATTTTTTTATTATTAGATAGCTATTTTTGTTTCTGAGTTGTGTTCATTTACAGGCTCAATTTTTTTCCGTTTCTCCTTTTTGATTTTATATGGGGTTTCAAGTTGTTTTTGACTTATTTCGACGTAAATCACAACAACACACTTTTTTAATAAAGCAAACATGTGTTAAGAGGTATATGTACGTGTAAACTACAATTACAAAAAATTGATATGAAACCCATAAAACCACCAACAAAAATGTAAAGCTAGCTTCCGTACTAGAACATGGTGTCATTCGTCGAGATAATTTATCGTTTTGTTTAATAGATCAAGAAATGTAAATATTCCCCTGTTATTTTTTATAAAATTATAAGAGAAATAAAATTTTTTCTAAATAGTATAGTTTATTATTTTGTAGAAAAACAAAATTTCGAAAATTTTAGTAATGTTTCAGAAACAACCGTTATTAATAATAGGTACCATTTTCCTTAATAAGGTAGAAATAAAATATAAACTATTTCCACGATTTACAAAATTATAGGTATTTTCCGCTATCCTATAAAATTTATATTTTCTGACTCAATTTCAAAAGGTTGAAGGAATTCCAAAACACCTTTTATGGCATAATAATTATTTTCAATTCTACATACTATCTTTAGCTGCTTTTAAAAACGTTCTAAGAAAGTCCAATCAGACCAATTTAATCCCTAAACTATTCCACACTTTTAAAATTTAATTACCTAAAAATATTAAAAACTATTTAAAATAACTTGTTTAGCAGACTGTACAATAGCTATCTTAGTCACACGTAGCGCGTTCTCTGTCTGGGCGTCGAACACCTCTAGAAATTTGATGAACTGTATATTACTAATAATTATCCGTCTTTTGTATCAGAAAATTTAACCCTACTCTTAAGATCTGCAATTTGTTTTTTAGTTTTCAGAAGTTCTTTTTTTGTTTTAAAATTTTTTGTTATAACATGTTTTTATGTTACTTTAGTTAAGTTTTGTACCAGCAACAAAAAATACCTATACTGAATACGTTACTTGAATAAAATATTTTTTCTTTTAAAACCTTTTTTTAGTTTACACATATATAGTCAATCAAATAATGCAAAATGGTCTGATTCAGAAACATGTGTACCACGTTCCATGTACCACCTTTAGTTACAGCCGTAACTTGTTTTCAAAGCTTCCTATACTGCCGACGTGTTTTAAAATAGAATTAAATAAGGAATTCAACGTGTACCAAATGTGGTACATGTCGGCTGCTGATGGTAGCCCTCAGGTACCACATGTGGTACACAGGTGTTGTGAGTAATTAGTGATATAAGGCTATAATTGCTGCTTGATCTACTGTCATCATTTTTATATGTAAGAACTACAACTGAATTTTTAAATGCCTCTGGATATGATCCTTTTTTAATACTTTTATTTATTATGTAAGAATTTTCAATATGATGTGCTACTTTTTCAAAAAGTCTGGTTTAATACCGTCTATTCCAGGACACCAATTATTTTTAAGAGTATTAATCAGGTTGACTATTTCTCTAGGATCGATATCATAGAATTGGGTAGAATGTTTGATGATATTGGGGATCTTTCTGAGTTTTTTTGGCAAGGTCTTTTCCATAACTTACAAAATTTTGTTAATCTCATTAGCTATTTCCGCATTATCCGTTAATAAATCACCAGTGTCGTTTGTTAGTCTCATTTCCTTTGCTTCCCCCAAAAAAGCTTTTGTACCGTGTACCATAAATATTTAGTATTATTTTTGATTCTACATTTCGTTTCTTATATTGATCATTTGCAATGAATTA